TCAATATAGCTGTTGTGTGAAACAGTCGGATTTTCGTTCATTTGCGATCGAGTTAGACCTTGTGGAACTCAGAATGTAAAGTAACAATGCTATAGAAAAAGAGTGGATTTGGAAAAGAATAGATACGAGGGTCTTAAAGATGACAGGATACAGGCGCGTAGCGTCCTCTACGCATCTACGCACGTGCGTACTTGAAGTGACCAGAAAAATTTGAAAACAATGTTGTGTTTGCGCCAAGTTTGCTCAAAATAAGGGCAAGACGCTTTGTTCTTTGCTTGTATTCACACAACTATTTCAAACAAGAAATAAAGAACGCAGTATTTTTCGCTCAGTTTACTTAGGTTTCTAGATCATATGTACTTGTGCGTACTTGAAAAAATGACCACGCATGCGCGGACGTACAAGAAGGAGATGTGTTGAAATGCTTAAAAATATGCGAGTTTTTATCGCTTTCCGTGTGCTCCCTTATCCTAGTAGAGAAATGGCGACCAGTTTCGCCAATATAACGGGAATTACATCCCGCACAAGAAAATTGATAAACTGCCATGGATTTTAGGGGTTAAGGCTCGTGAGGCATATGCCACAGGCTGCTCGCTTTAAAGTAACAGCACCGAGACCATGTTGAGACGCATCACATTGGATCGTAACCTTCTCCTGTGGGTTGTAATAACGGAGTATCAATGACACCGACACAACATCTTTGAGTTGCTCAAATGCTCTCTCTTGGGGCTCGTCCCAGTGCCACTCCACGTCTTGGCGGGTGAGGTCTCCGAGAGACTTGGTAATATCTGACAATCGGGGCAGAAATTTTCCAAGGTACTGAACCATTTCCAGGATACGCTGTACACCTGCAACATTCTCCGGTCGGGCGGCATTTCACGTATTGCTCGAACTTTTGCTGGATCTGCTCGAAGACCTTCACTGGTTGCCATATGACCGATAAACGGAACTTCTCTCATCCTGAGCTTCAACTTGTTGCTGTTTAAATGAATTCCACGCTCTTCACATCTCCGAAGGAACGCTAAAAGACTCTTGTCGTGATCCTTAGATGCTGCTTGCAATGAATCACCATAACGAACAACAACAAAGTCATCTGCTATAACTTGAACTCCATTCAGTCCTTCAATCAATGCGTGCATCTTGCGTTGAAAAATTTCAGGCACAGATTTAATTCCAAAGGGCATCCTTTTCCAACGATACCGCCCAAATGGCGTATTAAAGGTAGTTAGGAACGATGACTGCTCGTCAAGAGCAACATGCCAGAATCCACAGGCAACATCAAGGACAGTAAACACTTTGGCTCCATGTAACCTAGACGCAACCTCTTCGATGGTAAGCAATGGATAATTCTCTCGTTGCAGAGCCCGATTGAGATCCTTAGGGTCCCAGCAAATGCGTAAGGCAGCATTTGGTTTCGGTACGACAACCATTGAACTAATCCAAGTTGTGGGCGTTGTCACACGAGCTACAATTTCTCGCTTCTCCAAATCTCCTAAAGTCTCTCGTAGACGTTCTCGGATGGCAACCGGTACTCGGCGAGGAGGGTGTTGAACCGGCTTCACCGTTTCATCTAGCTCCATGTGATATTCTCCAGGAAGTTTACCAACTCCATCACTGAAAACGCGAGGGAATTTTATGACCAACTGGTCAGCGGACACAACAGGCTCGGTTGGCGCATCATGGGCATATACGCCACCTTCAGAGGTCTGGGGCCGATTCAACTGATCGTTGTCTAAGTAATTGATGATTTTCATTCCAAGACAAGCTTTCCTTCTAAGTATAGGCCTGACCCTTTTGCTGTCCACCAGATTACAGTCAAGAAAACATCTGAAATCTCCACGCCAAACTCTCAAACGAACTCTACCAAGGATAGGAATCGATGTCCCACAATACGAAATAATCGCCGTGGGGTCACGTTAAGCAAATTAAAGTCTCTTGTCGCTTTCTTCTACAAATGCAAAGGGCTACGTTACACTGTGCTTCAGTGTCCGGCTGAAAGCGAAGACTCCAATTTTAATGTTACAAGTCTGCGAATCATCAAGAGTCACCGCTGAAACCTCTTCCACGCCAAAAACTTCGTCTAAAGATCGATTCTCTGAAAACCCATCTTCCAAATAATGGGACACGATTGCTTCACTGCGAGGGTTTAGGCACCGATCCAAGCACACGTTCGCGAAACGGTTTTGCTTGTTACACTTGCTATACTTTTTTCCAAATGCTGGACAGTTTTCACGCTTTGACACATCATGCATACGCCCGCATTAAACACATTCTTTCACTCGGGAGTCAGCACCTCTAAGGAATCGACCACGCCTATTTTTCCCTCCTTTCGACTTTTTAGAAAAGGCATTTACATCACCCAGATCTGTATCCCCAGTGCTGGGACCTCCAACAACTTTCATTTGTTCAATCGTTGTCGCGCGCGCCCGACAAATTTCATCAGTTTTCTCCAGTGACAAATTCTTTTCGCGAAGCAACCTTTCACGTACCCTTGAATCCTGAATTCCGAAAACGAGCTTGTCCCGTAAAATTTGAGCTGCCGTAATGGTTTCAAATTCGCATCGATGAGCTAATTGTCGCAGGACTGTCCGATAATGGTCGTATGATTCTCCCGCTTCTTGCATTCTAGAGTAAAACCTGTGTCTTTCAAAAGGAACATTCTTCAACGGCTGGCAATAAGCAGCAAAATTCTCTAACACCGGCTGTATTGTCACTGTTACCTTCGTGAAACATAAACGTCGAGAAAACTTTCCTAGCTTCGGCTCCGATCACCGTCAGTGATCATGCTAGTTGTACGGTCTCGGGTTCTTGGTGCAATTTTATAGCTACCGAACAATTTCTCCATGCCTGCTCAAATTCCTTCCACTTTTCTGCCGTGTTTGAATCATGGATATCAAGCGGTGTTGGCGGTGGCAAAGCAAATAAGCCTCCACCCCTCGCGCTCGAAATATCCGAAGACGAACTTGAAGAGTGCTCAGCTTCTCCTCCTCCCGGTGTTTCAGCAAAAATACTTTACGAAGGTTCGGTATCCTGTAACCAGCGCTATGACAATGGACAACTACATTGGATCAAGTAGAAACCAAAGAAATCATATGATGCCAAGATTATCAACCTATCTACACAGTTATAATTATTCTACGTATGATGCACGATCCTCGCAGTAGAGAGCGCTATTTATGCAATAGCGAAAATCAGACCTGAAAAGAATCAGGCCTGTACGGGATTCGAACCACTGACCTCTGCGATACTAGTGCAGCGCTCTACCAATTGAGCTAACAAGCCAACTGGGAGCAGGCCGTTAAGTTGATTCGTAATATGTGATGGGGGTATTTGATGATGCACGATAATATGCACGATCATTCGTCACAGTTATTTTGTTGTTTCGCTTTCTGTCCATATTTTTTGCCCTGTTTTAAACACGAAGGCGCGCTATAAAAGGAGCCTTAGGTCCCACTGGACCATTTGTCAATCAACCGTCGTGTGATGTAGAGCTCTTAGAGTCAAGTCAGCTTGAGCTACAGCTACTCCAAAGCAGTGAACAGCGCGTGCATTCCTTGAAATTGTTTTATGTCTTCATCACAATACAAGAATTTTTGAGATTTGTATTTCCTTTCTTCAATGGAAACTGTCTTTATTTGTGGCGGTAAATTTGAGATCGAAGTAGGTGGTTCGCACGTTACCTCATGCCACCATACTGGTGGAAGTAAACAATTGATATCTCATCAGCTCCTTTTGTTCCTCTACCAGCATTTGAATTTGACCCGCACACGTCAACGGTGAGTAACAAATGAGCCTGGGTCTTCCCAGGGAAGACTTCTTTATATAGTGCGCCTTCGTGTTTAAAGTGTCATGGTGGCATATTTTGCGCGTTTAGATGTCTTAATATGGTAAAATGGCGTAAATGTCAAATAACAAATACATATGTACACACCGCTGCTACGATACTACAGAAAAAGAAGTAAAAGTTATTTGACATCTGTAGGAATTAACTTCATTATGGCTGACAACTACTCAAAGTTTAACCGATAGTTGATATACAAGAAAATGTTCTTGAAGAGTTGGTTACAGCTTTAAGATTGATATCTTTATTTGCAGATTCGCTGTGCCTCCGTTGTTATCAGTGTTTTTCTAATTTGTCATGGAAAGACTGTAACGAACATGCCATAGAGACTAATGAGTGCAAACCTCCAAATGTTTGTTACATGGCTCACCGAATATTTCAACGGAAGGGTCAACAACAGCACCACTTTATCAAAGCTTGTTACAACTCTGAATGGTGTCCTCAACAAAAGTGTAGACAGACCGAGCAGACTAATGTGGACGGTTCGTGGTGCGAGACAAAGTGCTGTAAAGAAAAGGATCTCTGTAACACTGGTATGACTCCTTCATGGGAAATGGCATATGTGGGGAAGGAGACCTCAATCAATCAAAATGTACCACCCAAAGTTTTTTTTCTAATCAGTGTATTATCAGTAATGTTGACGGCATGATCAGGATTTTGCAGCGTTTTTCAGCATGATATATGTAGCTATGGATTAACGGTTTCAACAATATAAAAAATTAGACAAAAGCATAGGTCAATTTGATAGAAACATTTCTTGGTCTAAATTGCTCATTCTTATGGTGTTGGGCGTGTTCAGTGTTCAGGGGGGTCTAAGACAAACAACAAAAACCCACGGGTTTCTTCACTTGAACACGCCCTTCTTGCACGAAAAAAAAAAACTTAAAAATAAAACATATAGGTTATGATAATGGAGCTTGCTTACAACACCGTAGTGCCGCTGTACTTTGAGGCCTTTACGTCTTTCGTTTTTAATAGTTTTAGGATTTAAACCGGGAAAATCCATATTTTAAATAATATTCAATAAATCTACTAATTTACCCCAAGAAAAGTAATTCGCACTGTGGTTCTCAATGACACCACCCCTCTATAAAGTCAAGTAGGTGTGAACACGACCTCTTCAGATAATTTAACTGTGATCCATTCACAACTACGCCTACATGTCTTTTCTTGTTTAATATTTTTAGGGTTCAAACCGAGGGAATCCATATTTTACACAATATTCAATTAAGCTAACAATTTACCCCGAGAAAAATAACTGGTACTGTGGCCGTCCATGACTATACTCTACCCCACCCCCCTTCCTCTCTGTAAACTCAGGTTGGTGCGAACACGACCTCTTAGCAATCGAAAGATCACAAAGGAAGCTTCAGATCACTTAACTGTGAGTCACTCCAATTTTTTCTTCCATTGCTGTTGTTTGACGATGTCAATGCGACACAAGATTCAAGAAAGATTTGCCAGTATTAGAGCTTCTAAATTGAACACGCCAGGCGAATAGTTTAAGGAGAGCAACAGGTATTGGATAGCGTAAAATCAGGTCTGCCTCAGCGCGTCAATAATTACCACAAGTTTGCGACACACTTTAAGACGTTGTAGAAAAAATTCAAAGGCCTAACAAAACTGCAAATCAAGCTACTCGGAAAAATGGCTTCTTCTTGACAAATACTATGAATAGTTTATCACAAATGTACTCGGGTGTCTGTGAAAATATGGACATCAAGAGGCGTTAATTACTGGATCTGCATTAGAAAACCCTGCTTTAACTTGACTTCTCCAGAAAGCTTGGCGAATGACGTAGAGTCTCGTCATAAGAGGGTGGCGGGCTGTTTTCTCTTCCACCTGCAGTCATGAAATTACTAAATAAGATTCACCGGCACAACATGTAATACTTTAATCGAGAAAGAATTTGTATCAAAATGATAGTTTAAAAACAACGCACGCTTAAAGAGTGTATTCAGGAGAGAGAATCTTTGTCGTAATATGAATAGTACGACTACAGCGTAAACGAGATCGCCTATGTCTTACATCATGGCTATGGGCGAATCCGATATAACAAAGATCGTCTGATTTGATACGCTTACGCAGTATGTTCAGCCTAAGAAAGTGAAAAATCTTACCATGAACACTTAGATCGTGATAAGGCGACCCTGGGCCATACAAATTGGGGTAAACATGAGGCAGTGGTCCGGGGTAAGGACCTTGCTGAGAAGGAAGTGACACCGGAGGTGCTGTCGGCTCACTGGGCTCTGCAAACTAAAATCATTTCCCGTGCAAATATTAGAGCAAACAGTAGGATATAAGCAAAGTATGAGAGTGCATTTATAAAAGTGATAACAAAAACCAATACTGATTTACAAAAAGTAGTAAAATCAGAAATGCTGATCATAAACGAAAATTGCCGAGGTCCTCGATTCTCCACGTCACGTGGTTGTGTCAAACATCCTGTGGAAACGTACTGTATGGAACAACCTCCGAGTCGACTTGCGGAAGTTACTCTACCAAAAATCCTTCTCTAAATCTTCGATTTCTTTAAAAAAAAAACTCCCTTCAGCGCCTGCCAAGCCACCGCCGCGCCAATAACGGCAATCAATCTTAAAATATGATATTTTTATTCGAGTAAAATCTGCCAAGCACACACGTACCTGCTGGCCTTGATTCTCTTTGTCCTCTTTTGTGCAACTTGTATGCTGTGGCATTAAAGCTGTCATCCAAGACCGCATCTCCTCCTGTTAACAGCATCAACCATTACCTCATTGTAGTTTGAGGTCAGGTATAGTAAGCGCTCATTAAACATACCTCACGAGTCAAGTTAGCATGCAATAGACATGCAGCCACTAGATACAGACCTTAACATAGCAAAGACTAAAGCAAAAACACCACATAATCTCACGAAAAATTGACGAAACACCGACACAGCGATATATCCCTAGCCTTATAATCTGTATGGTATCAAAATTGCTGGGTGTAGAACATAAAAATGATAGAGAATATCTTCATTATAACCTAACAATATAACTTGGCTACGACAAAGAAAAACAATTCACGTTCGAGTTCATCTTTTTGCTGTCTAGGCTACAGTTACAGCTACAGTTAGCATTTTCCTCGGAGTCCTTGGAAGTTTGAGGGTTACATTTCAGCCTTTAACGGGTAGAGTGACGGAGCACACGGACTCTCTCGTAGTCTTTCCGCAGCCATTTTTGTTGCCACTTTCTTATGTTTGTTTTCAGCGATGTTCAGTCGTACGCTAAAGCGTGCGGGCCCAACGAATTAATTTTCGTTCATTCTCCACTCGGCTGAAGCTAATCGATCTCAATTTCCACATCCAATCGGATAGAATTAATTAATTAATTTTAAAATCACTACTCTGTCCGCAGAAGTTTTCGTGTTTTTCTTCCTCAAAGGATCACCAGGCGAGAATAAGAGAAATCCGTCTCCTCGTTTACTGACTCCCCCCCTTAACCGTTACATACAGCCGCACCCTTCCCTGAATGAAGAAATCGGGAAGATACCTCCATACTTTCATTATGGCAGAGCTTTAATTTTCTTATTTTGCCCCATCCTGATTTATCATAAGGTGGAAAGCGGCTTTTAACTGGCTATTTAAGAGCCCTCTGAAAGAAAATAGAGGTTTGGAGGACATCGGAGTGATGTATAAACCTCTTTGACTCGGTATAGACTGACCTCTACACTTGAAGGCTATAATTAGTGCTAAACAAGAAACTGCAAAATCGCACTGAAATGATTTTGTTTCACCGAACACCGTTGGTATTGAAATGCTCACATCGAACACCGTAAGGTTTAGGTTCACCGCGATACCGGAGGTTAAGACGTTACTCACGGCATTACCGCCTACCTCCCCAACCAAAGCACTTTTCCATCAAATAACCCCAGGCGTCAGGATGGGCCCCATTCTTACGCTCTACTGATACATTGATACTGTCTTACCCCACTGACACAGCATCAAAGTTTCTTCAGTAACTTACCCCTTTCATGCATTTCTGAGAGCTACGTTTACGTCCAGGTGATCTCTGCATTAAATGCTCTTCAAGAGTGTTTTCAAACTTCCCTTGATTTAAATATCTCATTAACGTTGATACAATAAACAGAATATAATATTCTAATTGTCCATACAAATTCATCTTCTAATGTTGACAATAAGTCACACAACTCAAAGATACGATGTGTATCCACACGCAACCATCGATGTAACATTTCCTTTTTATAACAAGAATTTTAAAGATAGTTTATAATAATGATGATGATGGTGACAGTAATGATAATGAATGCCTACCGGTGTTGTACACTGCAGGTACCAAACTATTCCTGACTTTGTATGAACTTCAAAGACATTTTTTTTGTGTGGAAATGAATCTGATAACTTTACATTGTCAATGTCTCCTCTTGTAACTGTATTGAGAGGAGTTGGAGCCTGTTGAGCAGAATCACCAATGGTTGTGTTTAAGTTTCTCATTGCTATAGCTTGATGTAAGGGATGGTGAACTATAGACTGAGCTAAAAAACACGACCTCAAGTGTCCCTAATGTTCGCTTGGTACAGTATATTCTATACAATTATTTTCAATAATTATATAGGTAAAGTATATTCTAATATACAATTATTTTCAACCCTGATGATGGCAAACAGCCGAAAACGTTTGGTTCAAACATTTTAATTTTTTCCTAATCTTTAAGCCTTGTATAGAATATACTTGACCTCAAATTGCATCAGAGCGCACTGTTCAATGTAAATAGTATAATTTGTCAATACAGATCTGAAAGCGATTTACTTAAAAAAAAAATCAGAAACAATTCTTTAGTCTTTTTGCCAAATTTCTCATCTTTCTCCATGTCATTTTTATCACTTGGAAAACAAAAAGACTCATCTATGACTTGCTATTTTCTCAGCCATGAACCCTGCCAGACACCTCCCCCCACCTCCTGTGCCACCCTCATAGACAGGAAAGGAAGTACGGTAATAAGATAATTAAAGAAAAGTTCAGGAATGCTACAAAGATGGAACAATAATAAGGAAATTCAACATCAACTATAGTTCTTTTACACTATGTGAGCAAACCCACACCTAAAATTAATATAATCACCTTTTTTCATTAAAATTGTTGTGTTGATTGATTGACTGACTGTATATTGATGACAAAGAAAATAACTATTCATCAAAAATAGTATAAATTGATTTTTATCAACTGGCCATACTTGAAACTGATATTCTATCATCAACAAAATAATATTAATAACTGAAAGTTCCCTTAGTGTAACTAACCATTATTACCACCTATTTTAATGGTGACCTGAATAATTCAAGGCACTCACATATTTAGACTCATAGTAATGTAGATACATTCTTTCCAATTTAAAGTATCTCCTTCCCCAGCCAGACCATACATTCTTATATTTTCTGAGCTCTCCTTCTTTCTGCAAAGGTGAATAATTACAAATTTTTATGTGAATAAATTTGATATATAAAAGTTGGGAAATAGATCATTAAAACAACTTACAACTTTGATTGTAATAACTAAATCATGACCTGCCACTTCAAAATTGTTATCTAATAGTCAAAAACAGTGCTTTTTTTACTTTGCTACAAATTTAACATGCATTAACATTAGTCTATTAAAAAAAACCATATTTCCACACTGTCATCTAAACATACCCACCATGTTGACCAGTGAGAGTACACACTACCAAAAATAATTGAAAAAAAAAAAAACAATATGATTTTATTCATATCAAGAAAAATTTAGTAGATGGTAATCCTTTGGATAAAGAAATTTGTATTTTTTTTTTAAGATTTGATAACTAGTGTAGACTGATTGTTCCATGTGAGAGTAGTCCATGCAAAGAAGGACTGTGGTTAATGGTGGTGACTGATGTCAACAATCTGAGTGGGAGTCATTATCAGAGTCAAGCAAATACCGTAGTTGTTATGAGTTGGAATAAGTACTAAGTCCAGTATGTGTAAACTGATTGGTTAGTTTAGCCATTATATTATTGGCTGTAAGATTTAAATGGTATACATTGGTTGTGATTGGTCAGTTTCAATCTATCAATAAAGTAAGATTGCTCTGTTTGGTTTGTTTGTGATGGTTGATACCTGTTGAAGGGGGGCTTATTCTAAGTTTGTAAACCAGCTCTTTTTAGAGTTTACATGTATTTGATCCTTAGATGTACAAAAGAGCTTAAACATGCCATGATACACTACATGGACAAGTGACAAATTATCTTCAAAGTAGTTATTTGGTATGTTAGTGTTCTTTGTGGAATAATATTAACATTAATGGTGCTTAGGAACCATATTCCAAAATAGGGTATTTAAAGATTTAGAGCTTTCAGAAAACGAAATATAACCCCTATGAATCCTACCCCTAAAGAATGTGTCTGTGGAACACTTGCTTACAAAGATGGAACAGATGTCATCAATACCAATGACATTTAGTTTGGTGTTTCACAATAACACATTTTATTGGAAAAATGTGTAACACGCGATCATCTGATCGTAAGTATTTTGGAACACTTGATCAGCTGCAGTTTCAATTCTCATGAACCAAACTGTGCTGAGGAAATGTTCTAGAGACTGAGAGAGCAGGTTCGCGTTTGTAGCATACTGAAGTATTACCATGTCGTGTTTTAGAGTCACATGATGCGGTTCCAAACACCGAAGATACCAGGAGCACATGTTTGCATTATCAGCATTTCTCGTCGACTTAAACGATAACGTTGGTAGTTCTCCGCATTGTCAATCATTTAAGATAATTACCTCGGGGCAATTACCTCGGTAAATCGCAATAGTGATTAATTTCAATTGTGGGTAAATATAACAATTAAATGAGGTAAACAAATAAGAAAGTTTGTGAAATGTTTATATCAAATTTCGGCTGTCCCATCGAGGAAACTTAAAGCGTTTCTTACAAACGGAAAAAGGTACACGCTCACCGTTTGTTTTGACTCATCCATTCTTCCAGACTGAGTAACTGGTCCTGCATTGCTCCCATTGCTTGAGTAATGCTAAAGCACTGGGCACTACTAACAAGCTCACGACGTCACGCAAGTTCATTACCTCTGGAAGCAAACGAGTCTGTCACAACGAATAGGTGATTTCCAAATATCAAAGAAACTTAGTTGTGGAGTGGTGCCCATCTTCAAAAACGCTTAACGTAATTGTGGTAGTGCAGTGGTCATCCTGTCAAGTAGTTGCAACTAGTCTAGTCTCCTTCGCGGCTGTTCTTTGGGAAGTCACGCAAGTGTCCCCGCAAGAAAATTTGGGGATTTTGCGTGACTTCCAAAAGCGACTTCAGCAAGTTTTTACTGTGAATGTCCTCGCTAAAGAAACAAGGTAGAAACAAGACTCGTACTTGCTTTTCAAGTCTAAATCGAAGCGCGTTTTCATTTCTTGTGAGGAGATCTGGATTTAGCCTACGAAGCAAGCCCCTGGGGAGAGGAGGGGGATTGGGGCGAGCGGAATGTGCGGAAGTGAGAGGGAGGGCTTACCACAGACCCCCACTAACCAACGAAATTTCCGATCTCGTATGGACGAAAAATTCCCATTGGCTGAGAGCAACACGTTGTCAATCAACCCTCGAACTAAACAATTTGGATATATTGTTATATTCGTCTTCTCATCCATCTCACGTTAAGAATTCCATTCCTTTTTCTCAGTTTCTAAGACTTCGTCGTTATGTAGTAATGACTCTGATTTTCACCACAAATCAGAGTCAATGTGCCAGTTCTTCGATAAACGTGGTTACCCTGCTTCCGTTGTTCAAGCGGGTTACCACCGCGCTCAACTTATTGATCGACATTCAGCACTACAAACGTCGCATAAGGAAGATTCCGACCGCATTCCATTCACTCTCACGTTTCACCCTCACGTTTCACCCTCACAACCACTCAGTTAAATCCATCATTCTTAAAAACTTCAAATTACTTCAAAACGATCCAGAGACAAGCACTATCTTTTCGCAGCCTCCGCTCATTTCATTCAAACGCGACAAAAACTTAGGCAATTTTTTGGTCAGAAGTTCTTTTCAGACTAATGAGCAACCAGGCACTTTTAAATGCGCTCGTGCGCGATGCAAAACGTGTCCTTTCATTCACAACACTGATAAAATATCGGGACCTAAACGATCCATTAAGATCACCGATCACTTCACGTGCACCTCCGCTAATGTAATCTATTGCATAACTTGCACTTATTGCAAAAAGATATACATCGGCGAAACGGGCAGAAGACTAGGTGACCGATTCCGAGAACACCTTCGAGACGTGGAAAGGAATGACAAGGACACATCTAAACCAGTCGCTAGACATTTTAATTTACCTAATCATTCTAAGCAACATATGGCAATCTGCGGTCTTTCCTTGCACTTAGGTGGCACGGAAAGCCGTAAAAATCTTGAACAAAAGCTCATCTTTCAAACCGGCAGTCTCAATTCCACAGGGATCAATGAACGCTTTTCATTCCACTAATTTATTCATGTTTTTCTCGTTGCCATGCACCCACCAATAACGTAGCTCCATTTTCTGCCTTTAAAAGCACACACAACCCACAATTCCTCTATTCGCTCCGACGAAGGGCTAACGCTCGAAACGTCAGCTTTTGTAATCATTACGGTGGCCAATTTACCATTTCAACTTTGTTGATATATCCAAATTATTTCGTTACTCCCACCGACGCAGCCCCAAACAGTTTCTTTCGAAACTATCAGCCTCGAACTAAACAGTCTCCCTTTCCCCTCCGCACATTCCGCTCCCCCCAATCCCCCTCCTTTCCCCCGGGGCTTGCTTCGCAAGCTATACTGTTTCACTCCGTCGTGTTATCGTGACTGCTGTCGCGAACACAAGGTTGTGGTCTCAATCGCCAACAGCAACCATCTATTTTTGTACGGTTTTCTAATCTATTTATTCGTACTAAAGGCATTGATGCTTTAACCGCGAATATGACTGCAAAGCGGAAACAAGTTTGGAAAGAGAACTGTTGATGATTAACGAAAACCTGAGGAGAATGCAGAGGAGACTGGAACGGGCGTGTCGTGAGACTCCGCTAGCGTTCTTCAGAGTAGGTGCTGGATGTAAGAACGCTCTTCAGGTTGTTGCTGCTAACTGTTTGCGTTTCAGGTAAGAATCTTTCTAGATCCTGATTTTGTTCTCGTTGAGCAATATATTATTGTAGGCGACTACGCATATCAAGCTCCGACCCTTGAATCGCTTGCATGTGAGCAAAAAGCCCTTAGTTCACCTCCCAAACAACATGGGTATGATCTAATATAATTTGCAGTTCCCTCCACATGAATAACTGAAGCCTAAGCCTGTCTCGTCGTTTGCTAGACAACAAGTTTTGATAAACTTCCCATCCAATAATTGACTCATCTGATCGCTCTCACAAAATTATCAAAAATCTTTGCCCAACCGAGTAACTGCCATAATGTTTACCTTTTTCATTCAGCGGCGTGGCCAATTAGTTCGCAGAGCGCTGGAAGTGCACTCTGGAGGACTTTTGTTCGAACAGCAGCTGTGAGGTTATCCTAAGAGCTTACGTGTCGAATTCTAGATTTTGAAAGTTTTTTTTTTTCAAATTACATCCACGCTACTTCCAAATAAATTTAGTTTTACTTGAAAGAAACTTGTCCAACTCCGAGGAGGCTGACTGCGGGGTTTTGACCGTGCGAGGTCTGGACGAGAACATAGCACGAATTTTAAAAATGTCAACCAGCAAAACAAATGTGGCGGTCGATACGATCGCACGATTGTTATTAAGAACTTGAATTAAGGTGGCCGAACGCAGTTTTTGCGCGCGCTTTTGCTGATGCAAGGATTGCAAAAAATAAACATGCTATCAATAGAGCGGTCATTTTACTTAACACGTACCCACGCTATTTCTCTATAGTTGGCGCAGTGTATTGAGGGCTTTAATCTTTTGTTACAAAGATAATTATGTTAGAAAAGTTAATGGTGCAAAGAACTCGGCAATTCTCAGCTTTTTCGTCATTACTGAAAGAACCCAGTTAAATGCAGCGCATACGTAGTAAGTAAAACGATTGCGATTGAATGGAAAATTGCTTTCTCAGGAATATGCCTATTTCTTGAGAGCCACTCATTAGAATTTCACAAAATTTGTCACAAAAAAAATACTTTAGGAAATAAGTAAGTGGAGTATTGAAAAAAATTGAAATTCTAGATAATTGAAATTCTAGATAATTGAGTGAACCTTCAACAAGGGATAATTAAAGATCTCTGTGTTAAATTGTAAGCAAAATAGTGTTAACTTGTGAGTATTGTTACCAGCTCATTGCATGCAATTATAAAGAAAATCTAATGACTATAGATTTTCTACAAATAAACAATACCAATTTTAAAGGCCTGTTTAAATTTATTCATGTTACCATGAATAAATTGCCAACACATCATCAGTTTAACTATCAAAAAAAGAAAGTTTGTGTTGTTAACTTGCCTACTGCCAGTTTTGATGACCGAGAAATCAAGGGTTGAGTGATACCATATTAAGCAGCTACCCTGTAAAAGTGGTAGGTTTTTCAAAGTCCTGAAATTTTCCCCCCATGATTAATATTGTTCCACATGCGAAACCATATAATTTAGAAAACTATATCACTGTAAATCTCACATAGTATAGATTACGAAAATAATAGATAAATTAATTGTTCTCAGCTTTTTGTTTGGTAGGTGCAGCTGAGGCCTTGAAACTCAACACTGACAAGGTTTGCTTTACTGAATTACCAGCTTCAGTGTTACTGCAGACCTCGAAACAAACCGGACAGTACGACTCAGCAGATAACAGGGTAACAAAGTGTGTGGAAAGATTTCCATATAACCCCATACATTATGCATTCCATTTCATAAAGACTAACTATAAACTTTAAGGTTTCTTTGCAACACTCTATATGCATAATGAATGCATGGGGTTATATGGATATCTTGCCAAGTGTGTGAGGCTTTTTTTTTCTGATATTCAGATTGGTTCCTGAGAAAATCTGTTTTGAAGTTGGACAATAGAACACATTTTGGTGCTTGTCAGGCCTCATTACAGGGTGATATGAGAAGAAACATTTCGAATTTTGCTAAAGCCTCACACACTTTAGTGTGTTAATATCTGATGACCATTATAGCCAATTTTCATGAAAACCTGCCAAATCTACATACCCTACTAATATGTAAATTGAGATCCTGGATGAAAGCCTGTGGCAAAGCTCAACACTCTGCTGGAGGTGTTTCTGATCTTGGCACCTTTCACTCTTGCATACGGGTTTCCATAAAACATTCTTTTAGCAAGATATGTGGTGTCCTTTTTAAGATTAAATTATTTTTTTGGCAGATAAGACTTACTTTCCCTAACTAAACTGCAAGAAAATGACATTTTGGAAATTTTGACCAAATTTTGTGCATATTATTCTTAAGCAGTCACCTGTAGTCATCTCTTTACGTGGTTTCTATAGGCAGATTCCTGTTGTTGTCCACTGCTATTGAACTATTCAATTGAAACTGTGAGTAACATTTTAAGTAAACTTTGATCCCTGTTTATCTCCCAGAAACAATGTTAGTATAGTATTTTAGAGTAAGTTGTAGTACATTTAGTGGCATAAAATGGCATTTCTCATGGTTTATTTTAAAACCCCTTGTTCTGTAGAACCTGTTTCAAATGGTCACCCTGCCATTCTTCATGGGTGACCTCTTAAGGCAGGTTTGACTGTATTAAAACAGTATAAAACTAGGGATAACAGCAACTATACCCATTCTATGTCTGAAAAAGAGGTCATCAGAAAAGAAAACAATGTGAGAAAGATTGTGAAAAGGCAACAGCTAATTGCAAAAGTTTACAAATGATTGGATATCAATCTTGGCGAGGTGCTATTTTATCAGAGATACCAACCTGTGGATTATCTAAAATCTGGAGATTTTTCTCTTATGCCACCATAGCATCAGCCCAGCTGCACCCCTCCCAAACTAAAAAAGTTGAGACCCCCTATCAAATTGATCTACCTTTCCCAAAAACAAAGAAAGCTTTTGTCTAGTTTCTGTTAAGGTGTGGTTACATAAAAAATACTTAGAGAAATGGCGAGACAAGATTATAAAACCAAAATTGTTTTGATTTGAGTAAATCTTAAGATATAAGATGTAAGCTGAGAGCTGAGCAAAGCCTTTAAAGGCTGGTTCATAGCTTTTACCTGGGAGATTTGGTGAACCAAACAGGGGGCCACGAGACTCGTTCTATATCTGGGAGAGTGTGCATGTATGTTTTATGACATAGTGTTTTTGAAATAAGAAATAGGAGCATTTAATATATTCACAAGTGCCATTCCCATAATAATAATAGTAATAATAATAATAATAATAATAATTTACCATTTATAAGGTGCAAAATAACATTCAGATATGATCTAATGCACTCTAAAATAATTTTGCAAAAAGCAAAGAAACTAACTCTGTAACTCCTATTTTTTTAAACTTTAAAATTAATGGCAGGACAATCTCTATATTTTGTAAAAACTG